TTTACTTCGATCGAAATCCTGGCGAGGTCGCCAATGTTGGGGTTTCACCTCTCTATTATTCTCTACCCTTACTCTGGGGTGAGCAGTAGTTATGCTCAAGGTACCTCACCGTAGCCCTGCGGGTCTTCACTCGATCCTCACGGCGCCACTGCACGCCAGGAGAGTCTCCCAGTCAATCTTAACGGCCTCTTATTAAGAAAGAGTGAGAACACGACTCGTTCACTTGACTGTCGTGTGCCCTCCCCAACAATCGGGCTCTACGGTTAACCACAAGGTCGCTAACTGGTGTTTTAGGTGGCCAGTAACACCATCAGTGGACTGGTGGAATTAGTGGTAGCCTTGGCAAGGTCACACTCAAAAGATCAGGAATCAGGCAGGTACTTATTGTTATCACTCTATGCTTACCAGAATAATATAGCCACAAGATCAATGGAGGGGATGATATAAACACAAAGATAGTTTTGTATTTTACTTAAAATGTATGAAAGATGTCACAAAGGCCAAACAACAACAAATAAATCAACTGATCCTGACGCAGCCGGTAATTCCCACGAATAGTATGCGACCACTATGGGGGCAACACCTCCCCTCCTCATCAAGTGTCAAGAACAGCTGATCGCCTGGCCCCCGCGCGGAAGCTCTTTGCTTGTTTTCAGATTCACGCGCGCTGTTTCCTTAAGTTCTCCAATATTACTATGAACTCGCACACACGATATTGGCTACAATAGCACGTATCACTTGGTTACACTGTACTCAGGCTCAAACAGTCTTTTCTACAATCACTGCTATAATGACTCACTGTAATGGTCTTACACTGTTATTCATCCAACAATATATTATGAAATATTAACACTGGAGTTTTCAGTACTTTCTCTCGTGGGCGATAACGCAATAATTCACTGTACTCACAAATGACTTATCACTGCATAAACATAGCATATATAATGTAGATACATCAAATATCAATACATGGAAAATAAATGATTTCTGGGCACACAGCCTAACTTTCAAATACTGGCATAATATTATATATAATTTACCACTATATGTTCATATCAAAATCTATAGAAAGATATACACAACACAGTAAATTTATCACTTGTTCCTGGCGCCTGTACACACCAATAATCAACATGAATATTACAAGTACTCTTGATAGTACTGTCTAGCACACTGGTGCTTTATCGAGACATGGGTGAGACTTGCTCACGACATATAAAATCCTCAGGCTAGATAATATAGCCGAATAACATAGCTAACTAAAGGGGAATGGGGAGGGAACTAGAAACACCTACTTCCCCCTATCCTCCGATGAGAGTCGAGATGTAGCTCCTGGTCCTCGTGTCGGGAACGCCCCCACACTACACGTCGTCGTGTCCTACCAGAGCCTCTCATCGTCCCACCGTTTAGCGCGTCGTCTCCGTGCCTCTTTACTGCAGGTCCGTCCTCCTTCTTAACTTCTTGAAGGTTGGAGTCGGTCTCCTGGCCGACGTCTTCTCCCAGCAACGGCTGTCGCCTACGTCTCAGCTACAGTCGTCCGGATTCCCCAAATAGTCCTCTCTTCCTCAGCTACCCAGTGGCTCTGTCTGCCACTACGCTGTCACGAACTGGTGAATTGCCACAGACGTCCCATACGTCACTGCACGGCTTCACTGCTTCTTGCACAGCACCTGACTGGAGCACTTGTTGCTCAAATAACCGTCAATTCCCTCTTCTGGTTCAACACATGAACTAGGGAAGACTTCTCAGAGTACTGGCAGACTTCAGGTGACGCGTAAATCCACGGGAGCGGGAAACAACTGTCCAACTGACAGGACCAACCGTCGCACGTCCGACCTCTATGACGTGTCGTGTCTGACTGATGGCGCCAGCCCGGCTCGCGGGCCGGACCCCCTTCCTTCGTGACGTCACTTTTGCTACGGGAGGTTTTCATTGGCTCCCGGTGCCACATTGCTGTCGGTGACCAATCCGGTGCCACTGACGTCACACGGTTTTGGCGGGAGATCAGGGAGGCAAGCGCCATCTTGGCTCCCTAAAGGGCCTAAACCACAGGCCAAAATATTACTATTTCACAAATTTCTCGGCTCTCCGAGAACACTTCACTCTCTCCCATATATCAAATTGTAGCCTGCAACGTAGAGAACGCTTGGGAAAAGTAGACATGACTCTTACTGCAGGCGTGGGAGAATTATAAGGGGGGGGGGGGAACTCCGTCACAATATATATATATATATATATATATATATATGACGACTGAAAACTCATGACGACTGAAAACTCACACCCCAGAAGTGACTCGAACCCATACTCCCAGGAGCAATGCAACTGGTATCTACAGGACGCCTTAATCCGCTTGACCATCTCGACCGAACATAAGGAAGTGATAGCCGAAGCTATTTGAACCACTTCCCCGCCGGCACTCAGATGGTAATCTTGGGCATAGCATTTTATCAAATCACCTCATTCCTTGGGGCACACGTGAGGAACATAAATGCGAACAAGCCTGAATGGTCCCCAGGACTATATGCGACTGAAAACTCACACCCCAGAAGTGACTCGAACCCATACTCCCAGGAGCAATGCAACTGGTATCTACAGGACGCCTTAATCCGATTGACCATCTCGACCAGACATAAGGAAGCATAGGCATAGCATTTTATCAAGGCATAGCATTTTATCAAATCACCTCATTCTTTGGGGCACACGTGAGGAACACAAATGCGAACAAGCCTGAATGGTCCCCAGGACTATATGCGACTGAAAACTCACACCCCAGAAGTGACTCGAACCCATACTCCCAGGAGCAACGCAACTGGTATCTACAGGACGCCTTAATCCGCTTGACCATCACGACCGGACAAAAAGGAAGTGATAGCCGAAGCTATTTGATCCACTTCCAAATATATATATATATATATATATATATATATATATATATATATATATATATATATATATATATATATATATATATATTATATAAATATTTATATATATCACGCACCCTGTCTGTATAGGATAGACGGATATGTATAGATCATATATGTAAGAGTTAGCATTAGAAGCCATTTAACCGGTCTCTGAGGTCTAACGCTCAATAGCTATGCTAGCAGCTCTCTAACCCTCTAACTCGTATTCATGGTGGACCGAAGATAATGTATACATGCTGGATAACGTCGCATGAATACATGCTGGCAAGCGTCGTATGTATACAAGAAGAGCCACGTCTCTGGTAGACAATAAACCCACGTGAACTCTCCTCTGAAGATGCTGTCAAGACTGACAACCTCTCATGCATCCACTGTTAGGTGTTGCTTGTTGTGTTCATCATGTGTCCTCATATGTTGCTTGTTGTGTTCCTCATGTGTCCTCATATGTTGCTTGTTGTGTTACTCATGTGTCCTCATATGTTGCTCGTTGTGTTCCTCATGTGTCCTCATATGTTGCTTGTTGTGTTCCTCATGTGTCCTCATATGTTGCTTGTTGTGTTCCTCATGTGTCCTCATATGTTGCTTGTTGTGTTACTCATGTGTCCTCATATGTTGCTTGTTGTGTTCCTCATGTGTCCTCATATGTTGCTTGTTGTGTTCCTCATGTGTCCTCATGAGAGAAACTGTAGTACACTACTGGTAAATATCTCCCATAGTTCAGTAGTGGGTATTATCTCCCATAGTTCAGTAGTGGGTATTGTCTCCCATAGTTCAGTAGTGGGTATTATCTCCCATAGTTCAGTAGTGGGTATTGTCTCCCATAGTTCAGTAGTGGGTATTGTCTCCTATAGTTCAGTAGTGGGTATTGTCTCCCATAGTTCACTAGTGGGTATTATCTCCCATAGTTCAGTAGTGGGTATTGTCTCCCATAGTTCAGTAGTGGGTATTGTCTCCTATAGTTCAGTAGTGGGTATTGTCTCCTATAGTTCAGTAGTGGGTATTGTCTCCTATAGTTCAGTAGTGGGTATTGTCTCCCATAGTTCACTAGTGGGTATTATCTCCCATAGTTCAGTAGTGGGTATTGTCTCCCATAGTTCAGTAGTGGGTATTGTCTCCTATAGTTCAGTAGTGGGTATTGTCTCCTATAGTTCAGTAGTGGGTATTGTCTCCCATAGTTCACTAGTGGGTATTATCTCCCATAGTTCAGTAGTGGGTATTGTCTCCCATAGTTCAGTAGTGGGTATTGTCTCCCATAGTTCACTAGTGGGTATTATCTCCCATAGTTCAGTAGTGGGTATTGTCTCCCATAGTTCAGTAGTGGGTATTGTCTCCCATAGTTCACTAGTGGGTATTATCTCCCATAGTTCAGTAGTGGGTATTGTCTCCTATAGTTCACTAGTGGGTATTGTCTCCCATAGTTCACTAGTGGGTATTATCTCCCATTGTTCAGTAGTGGGTATTGTCTCCTATAGTTCACTAGTGGGTATTGTCTCCCATAGTTCACTAGTGGGTATTGTCTCCCATAGTTCACTAGTGGGTATTGTCTCCCATAGTTCAGTAGTGGGTATTGTCTCCTATAGTTCACTAGTGGGTATTGTCTCCCATAGTTCACTAGTGGGTATTATCTCCCATAGTTCACTAGTGGGTATTGTCTCCCATAGTTCACTAGTGGGTATTGTCTCCCATAGTTCAGTAGTGGGTATTGTCTCCTATAGTTCACTAGTGGGTATTGTCTCCTATAGTTCACTAGTGGGTATTGTCTCCTATAGTTCACTAGTGGGTATTGTCTCCTATAGTTCACTAGTGGGTATTGTCTCCCATAGTTCACTAGTGGGTATTGTCTCCCATAGTTCACTAGTGGGTATTGTCTCCTATAGTTCACTAGTGGGTATTATCTCCCATAGTTCACTAGTGGGTATTGTCTCCCATAGTTCACTAGTGGGTATTATCTCCCATAGTTCACTAGTGGGTATTGTCTCCTATAGTTCACTAGTGGGTATTGTCTCCCAGGTGCTGTTATTACATGTGTTCAGTGTGAACAATTACAATATAACACATCAGATAACTTACCGGAATGAGGAAGAACACTGGAGTGGAGAACTTGCCGTAGCTGACCTTTGACCTGACCTTGACCCAGAGGGAGTAGTTACCGGGCGAGAGGTCACGGAGCTCCACCACGCGGCCGTCCTCCTCAAACTGTCGGCTGCTCACACACCTCTCAATGTGCACCCTCTGCCAGACACACCAGCATAGCTCTATACATCGCACAGGAGAGAGTCATGGCACTATACATCGCACAGGAGAGAGTCATGGCACTATACATCGCACAGGAGAGAGTCATGGCACTATACATCGCACAGGAGAGAGTCATGGCTCTATACATTAGTGAGTAAAGTTATGGGTCTATACATTGGTGAGGATATTTATGGCTGTATACATTGGTGAGTAGAGTCATGGGTCTATACATTGATAAATAGAGTCATGAGTCTATACATTGGTGAGTAGAGTCATGGGTCTATACATTGGTGAGGAGAGTCATGGCTCTATACACAGGTGAGGAGAGTCATGGCTCTACATTTTTTTGCAGGGATATTCCTGCGCGGGCCCTAAGCCTCTGGCTGGCCCACTAAGTGTTGCTTGTTTCTGTTTTACTTGGGCGGAGTATGAGTATTTATGACTCGTATGGTCGCTTCAGTAAGATTTTGCCATATGTGTTTAACAACTTTTTCTGCTCTGTTGAATCTAAGTTGAAATCTTAATGGGTTTGTAACTGTGCACTGTGTTAGATAATGTTCTAGTGGTCTGTCGGGCATTTCTCCACAGTGCTGACATTTCCTCTCATCTTCCGGAACCTGTAAGCCTATTTCCCATGCACATGGGTATCCAAGCCTGATGCGATGTAAGTGTACTTCTGTTGCTCTACTGCTCCCTTTCATCAAACTAAGTGGTTCGTAGTTGGTTGAATTCTTGTACCAACTCGCAGATCCTGATGTTGCAACTGCTGTGTTGTGGTCACTGTACATCACTTGCATTGCTCTGTTTCTAATTACTTTCTTAATTTGTGATAGACTCTGCGGTAGGTAAATGTCTACATTTCTTCTCTTAGTTGTAAGTTTTGCAGCTTCGTCTGCAATGTCATGTCCTATTATTCCCACATGACTTGGCACCCAGTTGGTAAGTACCCGTTGGCCTTGTCGTTTGAGTGTTTGCATTAATGATATGACATTTGTGATCAGATGTATGTTATCACATATGTGTTCTTGTTGCAAGGTTTCAATGGCAGTTCTCGATTCTGTATGTATGATAACATGTTGTCTGTGTTCAGCAAGAGCATGTTCCAAAGCCTTCTGTATAGCTAGCATCTCTGTTTGTAAAGTCGAACACCCATTTGAGAGTCTCCAACTATTTACAGAGTTTCCTGCTTTAGCTGCAGCTCCGGTTTCTTGTCCCTGCTGGTCTGCTGATCCATCTGTGAAGTATGTGAAGCTGTCATATGCCAAGTTTGCTTCTATATGCATGTGTGCAATATTTCACAGCAGATGAGGATTTGTCTGGTTATTTTTTCCTTCAAGAACCTTAAATCCTTCAATCTTAAAGTCTGCTGGCAGAGATTTCCAAGGGGCTTGCATAAAAAAGTCTGTATGTATTTCGTCGACACCCTTCTCAGTGATTGTGTTTGTTATATCGAATGTATTGATGGTGTTTATCGCACAATGGGTTCACCTGTTGCTATTGGAGGCTCTTCTCTCCAGAGTTAGTGCTCCAGTGATTATATCTTTAAGTGAACTGATTCTAGGTCTAGTGAATATCTTGGTCAACATGCATGCAGCGATCCCTTTTACCCTAATTTCAATCGACGTTAGCTTGATTTCTAGTCTTAGGTTCAGTATTTTAGTCCATCTGGGAGCTCCTGTTATGACTCGCATTGCATCGTTTTGAATAACCTCAATGTTTGCCCACTGACCAGGAGAAAGAGTGAGTAAGGCAGGCGCTACATAATCAACTAGGGAACGAATGGCGTGTATGTAAAACATTCTTAACACTTTGTGTCCCGCTCCGAGACGGGGCCCTGTGATTGTTATCATTATATTTAGTCGTGATTTTGCTTTCTCCTTCAGATATTGAATTTGCTTGTTGAATGTCATTTTAGAATCTATCCACACTCCGAGATATTATTGTGTAACCCACTGAAGGCTAATGTCTTGAATGTGTAGGTTCCTGTCTGGAGTGTTGCCTATACATTGGTGAGGAGAGTCATAAATCTATACATTGGCGAGGAGAGTCATGGCCCTATACATTGTTGAGGAGAGTCATGGATCTATACATTGGTGAGGAGAGTCATGGCCCTATACATTGGCAAGGAGAGTCATGGATCTATACATTGTTGAGGAGAGTCATGGATCTATACATTGGTGAGGAGAGTCATGGCCCTATACATTGGTGAGGAGAGTCATGGATCTATGCATATCAGAAGAGATACTCATGGATCTATACATCCTACATCTCAGATGAGAGGGTCTATTAACTATACATCTCAGCTGAGAGTTGTAGATCAATATTGTTCGATATACATCAAATACTGATTAGATTGTGATACGAAACAGATAAGATATGGTCTCAACAAAATCTTGAAACTGGGAAAATAATCGAAAACTGTTTTCAACGACTATGAAAGTGATAATTTGTATACTACAAAGTTTAGTAGTATGTCCCATACAGATAACTGATATCATGTGTTCTTTAATGAATTGTTTGTTAACTGACTCACACAAAACTAAAGTTAACTTTACATCAATATCTTCTGTATACACAAGTGTATCCAGGTGCTCCCACACGCAAACACTGTTGTTACGATCCTGGGTTCATTAAATGGAAACCAGAGGTCAATTTGTGTTCTTAATAATTACTATACATTAATTCATAGGACTGGATCATGTAAGAAGGATATTTAATTAACAATAACATTTACATGCAGGAACCCTTAAAGCCTGGTTCTGCAGTATTCCCGTCATCCTTGCCAAACGTAAGATGAATCTTGTTTCTCACAGAGCATTCAAACTCTGTGCTTGTTGACTATTAAATATAATATTGAACTAAATATTATATTGAACTATTAAATATAATATTGAACTATTAAATATATAATATTGAAATATAATAATATTATCAGCTACCCTTAGAATTGTTAAAGTAACTAGTAATGAAGGTCGGTGAAGATTTGTATTGTTGTGGCTGTACACAAATGTACGCAGCATTTATAAGGGACCGCATAGGCTGTTTTAGGCCTCTTTGGTTGTGTGGTGGTGGACATAACTCTCCTGTGTGTTTCTATTTCTACTCCTCCTCCTCTTCCCTTACCTTATCCTGTGTTTAGTTCGACAAGTAAGTACCGTGTTACATGTACAGTTTCTTGCATAAGTGTGTAGTAATGTGTATAGTCTATGCTAGTGTTTATATTGCTAAGTTACTATAGGGGGTCTCAGTGGAACCACGTGTGCTCAAGTGGTACCAGGCTACCTAGCGTCCCTCAGTGTCCCTTGCCAAGCAGTCTTTACCCTAGTTGCCATTGTAAACCTTGTATCCCGCTTATGTGAACCAAGGTATTTAACGTAAGATAGAGTGGTAAAGAGAATTGTTGTGATAATGTATATGGGGGGTTATTAGAGGAGTTACTAAATAAGTAGTATTAAAGGAGAATCCATTCTTACTGTTGAAGTGGCGCAGTGATCTACCACTAGACTGACGTATTTACTTTAAAGTCAGTAATTTAGTGCTGGTTATGTTCTTATTGAGGGCCGGGTCTATCTGATCTCCACTAATTTTAGGAACTGTTTGTTTATCATTATTGGTCCTCTAAGTTTAATCACATACATTCCCATAACAAGTACTCCCCCATAACAACTATTATATGCACACACACACACACACACACACACACACACACACACACACACACACACACACACACACACACACACAAACACACACACACACACACACACACACACACACAGAATAGGAGATGAAGTACTTAATGAAACAGAGAGAAAGATCTAGGAGTTGATATCACACCAAACCTGTCTTCTGAAGCCCACATAAAGAGAATAACGTCTGCGGCATAAGCGAGGCTGGCTAACATCAGAACGGCGTTCAGGAACCTGTGTAAGGAATCATTCAGAATCTTGTACACCACATATGTAAGACCAATCCTGGAGTATGCGGCCCCAGCATGGAGCCCGTACCTTGTCAAGCACAAGACGAAGCTGGAAAAAGTACAAAGGTATGCTACTAGACTAGTCCCAGAACTAAGAGGCATGAGTTATGAGGAAAGGCTGCGGGAAATGCACCTTACGACACTGGAAGACAGAAGAGTAAGGGGGGACATGATCACAACCTACAAAATCCTCAGGGGAATCGACCGGGTAAACAAGGATAAACTATTCAACACTGGAGGGACGCGAACAAGGGGACACAGGTGGAAGCTGAGTACCCAAATGAGCCACAGAGACATTAGAAAGAACTTTTTCAGTGTCAGAGTAGTTAGTAAATGGAATGCACTAGGAAGTGATGTGGTGGAGGCTGACTCCATACACAGTTTCAAATGTAGATATGATAGAGCCCAGTAGGCTCAGGAATCTGTACACCAGTTGATTGACGGTTGAGAGGCGGGACCAAAGAGCCAGAGCTCAACCCCTGCAAGCACAATTAGGTGAGTACAATTAGGTGAGTACACACACACACACACACACACACACACACACACACACACACACACACACACACACACACACACACACACCGGACCCGGACACTCACACCCTGGACTCTATAGATGTAGGCAACCACTCCGCCGTTGGGGTTGAAGGGAGGCGCCCAGGTGATGACCACGGAGCCTGTAGAGGTGTTGTGGACCACTACAGCACGCACTGACCCACAGGGGATGTCGTCCGCCGCTCCTGCCAGATAACAACAGAGAAAAGAATAAGAACACAAGAACAGAGGAAGGTGAAGAAGGCTTATTGGCCAGAAGCGTGCAGGTCTTACTTATACCTGCCCCGACACTTCTGTCTTTGTGTAACCTTCGCATGATATGATCCCGCGCCTGTTATCTTACTCATTAATCTGTTCATTAATCTACAACTCTACTCCAAAACTATTATTTACAAAGTCTTTTCTAAATCTAAACTTACCTTATTTGTATTCATTTTTCCTATTGATTAACTTGTCATCCTATAAATATTCTTCTTGATAAATTTGTTAAATTCATCTGCATTAAATAAGAAAGATTCACAACGCTCTCAATGATCTTTACTCTGTTTTCCTGAACAAGTTCATGGAAATTTATAAGTTCTGCGTTACGGTGTCCTAAACTGAATTATATAATATAAATAAAGCCAAACAAGGGCATAAATAGATATCTGCTGACCTAATTGTAAGAATGAAGACTAAAGGTAACTTCAGAAGCCCTATTGATCCATACGAGGCAGCTCCTATTTATATCCACCCAAACTCATTCGTATATATGTCTAACCTAGGCTTGAAACAATCAAGGGATCCTACTTCTATTACGTTACGTGTAATTGGTTCCACAAATCAATAACCTTATTACCGAACCAGTATTTACCAGGGTTTTTCCTAAATCACTATCAACTGCCTCAACTTTACTGGAATAATATGATAGCAAATTTGTTAAACATGAACGGCGATTTGTAAAACTATGTTGTGAATCATTTATTAAGATATGTTTTTCAAGATGAAGACGAATGTTATTTGCAACTATCGATTCAGGTAACTTTCCCATAATAAACTTTAGGCTAATTGGACGATAGTTTGACACAAGTTATCAATCTCCTTTATTGAAAATTGGTACCACATTAGCAACCTTCCATGACTCTTACATTATACCTGATTCTAATGATTTATTAAATATGGTAGACAAAGGCTTGCAAAGCTCCTCTTTGCATTCTTTAAGCACCCTGGGGAAAGCCGTTCGTCTGGCTTGAGTTTCACTATTTGTTTAATGCAACCTTCCTGGTAACAGCTAAATTAGTTAACCTGTCCTCTTCGCCCTGTAATTTAAGCTTTGTCAGTCTTTCTTCATATGGCAGGTTTCTAATTTGGAGGATTAATTTTGTCATCCTACGTTGGACGCGTTCTAGTGAATTTATATCCATTCTATAATACGGCGACCAAAACTGAACTGCATAATATAAATGAGGCCTAACCAGAGCAAGATATAGCTGATGATGATTATAGATTAGTAATAAGACACCAGGTGTTATATTACTAATGGTTCGATTAATAAATTCCAGTGTCCTATTTGCCTTATTACGAACATTTATGCATTGATTTTCTCGTTTTAAATTCTTATTAATCGTACTTCCCAGATCCCTTTCGCAATTCGACTTCGCAATTTCAACACCATCTAGCTCGTATCTTGTAACTCTATCTTCATTACCAAGCCTCAAAACCTTGCATTTGTCAGCATTAAACTGCATCTGGCAATGTTTTGACCATTTCAAAACGCTATTTAGATAGTTTTGAAGTAATAGTGAGTCTTTTCCCGTGTTTATTACCATCACGATTTTTGTATCATCGGCAAATTTGCAAATATTGCTGCTCAAACTTAAATCTAAATCATTTATATATATTATAAACTACAGAGGTCCCAGGACAAAGCCTTGAGGCACTCACAACATTTTCCCAGTCTGACTTAACCCCATTTATACTAACTCTGTTTCCTTTGGTATAGCCATGCCCTAATCCAACTTAATTTAACACCTCCAATTCAAGCACCCCCAATATCATGAGCCTCTATCTTTTTAATCAGTCCTTTCATGTGGGACTGTATCAAAAGCTTTGCTAAAGTCAAAGTACACAACATTGCAAACCTTACCACTATCAACTGCCTCAACTATGCTGGAATAAAATGATAACAAATTTGTTAAACATAAACAGCCATTTGCAAAACCATGTTGTGACTCGTTTATTAATTTATGTTTTTCAAGATGAAAATGAATGGTATTTGCAATTATCGATTCAAGTAACTTTCCCACATTAGACGTTAGGCTAATTGACCGATAGTTTGACGCAAGTGATCTATCTTCTTTCTTAAAAATTGGTACCACATTAGCCACCTTACACAACTCTGGCACTCTGCCTGACTCTAATGATTTATAGCATAAATATGACTATTTATCACAGCCAAATAGGATAAAATAGGACAGGACAAAATCACCGCCAAAACGATAAACAATCCATAGTTAGTAATATATATAAGAACATAGGAACTTAAGAACAAAAAAACTATTGAAGGTCTAATGGCCTATACTTGGCCGCTCCTGTTAAAATCCACTCAAACTTATTTATATATATTTGACAAACTAACGCTTGAAACAATCAAGGTATCCTATGTCAATTACGTTACCCAGTAATTGGTTAAATTAATCCAATTAAGGTGGCTATTAAACACGTTAAATAGTCATCTTAGCAGCTAAGGATGTAACTTTACTAGCCACAATTCAGAAGTGGGTAATTTAAATAATTTAATGAATTAATTGAGTATACAATAACTTTTAACAAATTTAACTTATAATTACCACTCCTGCTCTATCTGAATTCTAACTAACTACATCCCCCCCCTTCCCCCCAACTGCGGGAATTGTGTGGCTCCTGGGTTATACATACAGTCCGCTAAAACTTAGTATTAAATTAATATACAATACCCTGGAAATTAACCCTAAATAATTAAAAATAGTTTACTTCTTTAAGTGTAATAACTAAGTAATGAAATAAATGAACCACATACCCCACAATGAGAGCATATTTATATGTTTAGGAAAAATATTCATTTATATATAAGATTTATTTGTGGAGTGAATGAGTGGCACATCACAGGGACTGACTGTGATTTTGAATGGTGGTACTGATTCATATGTGTATTGGAATTATTATTTACTATCAAGGTGATTAAATATATGCACCATAAATTGTGAAATTCAAATTATTGTTTGAAGGGCAGAAATTATGTGCAAACTTTACAGACTACCAGTAGGCAAGACAGGCGAGGCTATGGAAAATTTACATTACTGTAGACCTCCTAGTTCAGCCATATACATTGTAATATGTATTTATTGTGATTTTCATTGCTGATGTATGAATAAACCTTTCAGTAAATGTTACGACACTTAAGTTAGCATTAGAACTTTCTTGGTGGCCTTGTGAAGAGGTTGGTCTGACTAACCGTTCTGATAGTCTAGCTAACCATAACAATTTGCCAATGGTAATCTGACAAAGATCATTTGTGAGAGCCAGAAGAGGCTGGTTGGGAGACGTCGATAACTACATGGAGCGGCAAAGAACAGCTGGACACATTAAGCCAAGAGTGTGTGCATCTCTCAAGCCGTTGTCTAAGGATCCTCCCACAACCTGACTGGGGCGGCTACCCCAGAACTGTCCAGCAGGTGCACACAGCTGTCCTCTTCCACACAAGAGTTGGATTTGCTTTTTTATTCTTTTTTATTAATGTGACCTTCACATTCTTACCTGGTCATTACCTATGGACGTCTCTGAGCCAAGTTTCAGAGACAGTCCTTGTCAGCATTGGGGGAATCTGATCAGGGAGGAGGGAAGGTGGTGAAGGTGAGGGAAGGTGGTGAAGGTGAGGGAAGGTGGTGAAGGTGAGGGAAGGTGGTGAAGGTGAGGGAAGGTGGTGAAGGTGAGGGAAGGTGGTGAAGGTGAGGGAAGGTGGTGAAGGTGAGGGAAGGTGGTGAAGGAGAGGGAAGGTGGTGAAGGTGAGGGAAGGTGGTGAAGGTGAGGGAAGGTGGTGAAGGTGAGGGAAGGTGGTGAAGGTGAGGGAAGGGGTGAAGGTGAGGGAAGGTGGTGAAGGTGAGGGAAGGTGGTGAAGGTGAGGGAAGGTGGTGAAGGTGAGGGAAGGTGGTGAAGGTGAGGGAAGGTGGTGAAGGTGAGGGAAGGTGGTGAAGGTGAGGGAAGGTGGTGAAGGTGAGGGAAGGTGGTGAAGGGAGGGAAGGTGGTGAAGGTGAGGGAAGGTGGTGAAGGTGAGGGAAGGTGGTGAAGGTGAGGGAAGGTGGTGAAGGTGAGGGAAGGTGGTGAAGGTGAGGGAAGGTGGTGAAGGTGAGGGAAGGTGGTGAAGGTGAGGGAAGGTGGTGAAGGTGAGGGAAGGTGGTGAAGGAGGGAGGGAAGGTGGTGAAGGTGAGGGAAGGTGGTGAAGGTGAGGGAAGGTGGGTGAAGGTGAAGGTGAGGGAAGGTGGTGAAGGTGAGGGAAGGTGAGGGAAGGTGAGGGAAGGTGGTGAAGGTGAGGGAAGGTGGTGAAGGTGAGGGAAGGTGGTGAAGGTGAGGTGAAAGGTGGTGAAGGTGAGGGAAGGTGGTGAAGGTGAGGGAAGGTGGTGAAGGTGAGGGAAGGTGGTGAAGGTGAGGGAAGGTGGTGAAGGTGAGGGAAGAGGGAAGGTGAGGGAAGGTGAAGGTGAGGGAAGGTGGTGAAGGTGAGGGAAGGTGGTGAAGGTGGTGAAGGTGAGGGAAGGTGAAAGGTGGTGAAGGTGAGGGAAGGTGGGTGAGGAAGGTGGTGAAGGTGAGGTGAAAGGTGAAGGTGAGGGAAGGTGGTGAAGGTGAGGGAAGGTGGTGAAGGGAAGGTGAGGGAAGGTGGTGAAGGTGAGGGAAGGTGGTGAAGGTGAGGGAAGGTGGTGAAGGTGAGGGAAGGTGGTGAAGGTGAGGGAAGGTGGTGAAGGTGAGGGAAGGTGGTGAAGGTGAGGGAAGGTGGTGAAGGTGAGGGAAGGTGGTGAAGGTGAGGGAAGGTGGTGAAGGTGAGGGAAGGTGGTGAAGGTGAGGGAAGGTGGTGAAGGTGAGGGAAGGTGGTGAAGGTGAGGGAAGGTGGTGAAGGTGAGGGAAGGTGGTGAAGGTGAGGGAAGGTGGTGAAGGTGAGGGAAGGTGGTGAAGGTGA